CCCGATTGAGAATAAAATTTTAAAGGCCCCAAAAAGTAGTTGAAATCACAGGGGCAATACGAATTCAGGGCTGAGTAGGCTTTGCAGTCAGGTTGAATTGGAAATAGGCCTGTAGTTGGAAATTTGAAGAAGGTATAACACAATACTGGATTCAGATATGCAAGAGGAAAAATAACAGTATTTCAAATTGAAATTGTAGATGATAGTAGCAGACTAAATATCTGGTAATAGTCAATAATCGGGCATTATAGTTTTGGAAAAATATTCACAGTAAGCATTAACTGGACACCCTTTAAGCTCAATGAATTTTCTGGAACTTTGGGGAGGATATGAGTAGTAGATAACACCACCTGACTTTAGGAAGTTTGTTTTTAATTTTTTAATTTTTTATTTTTTTAGTTGGAGTCTTACTCTGTTGCCTAGGTTGGAGGGTAATGATATGCTCCCGGCCACCGCAGTCTCGACCCCCTGGGCTCCGGCGATCCTTCTCCCTCAGCCTTCCAAGTAGTTGGAGCTACAGGCACACCCGGCTAATTTTTTGATTTATTGTAGAGATGAGGTTTTGCCAAGTTGCCCAGGCTGATCTCGAACCTGTGGGCTCAGGCAGACCTCTCACCTCGACCTCCCTAAGTGCTGGGATTATAGGTGTGAGCCACCACGCTGGGCCAGGAAGTTTTTTATTTTTATTATGTAAAAAAAAGTTTTTTTGTTTTGTTTTTTTGAGTCAGAGTCTCACTCTGTGGCCCAGACTGCAGTGCAGTGGCCGCTCCTGGCCACCGCAGCCTCCACCTGCTGGGTTCCAGCGATCCTTCCGCTTCAGCCTTCCAAGTAGCCGGAACTACAGGCGCGTGCTACCACACCCGGCTAATTTTTTGATTTATTGTAGAGATGAGGTCTTGCCAAGTTGCCCAAGCGGGTCTCGAACCCACGGTCTCAGGCAATCCACTCACCTCAGCCTCCCAAGGCGCGGGATAACAGGCTGAGCCACCAAGCCCATGAAAGTTTATTATTTATTTGAAGAGAAGAGCTCGGAACATAAAACAAAATTGGAGAATGTAACCAAGTAAGTATGCCATCAGAAGGGCAAAATATGTGCTTATTCAAGGTTCCTCCTGAACCCCTATGCATCCTTCAAAAGTGTGATTCCTAGTCACTTCAGGTATGTGTCCCATTGAGCACCTCATCTATATTCCTAATTTGGCACTCTTTGGAAGTATCACAGTTGACTGTAAACTCCGCCTTTTTTTCTTTTGAGTCACTCTGTTGCCCAGGCTGGAGTGCAGAGGTACACTCGCGGCCAACCTCATCTCCACCTGCTCGGTTCAGGTGATCCTTCCACCTCAGCCCTCCAAGTAGCTGTAATTACAGGCACCACCACACCTGGCTACTGTTTTGATTTATTGTAGAACTGTGATCTTGCCACTCACCTCAGCCACCCAAAGTGCTGGGATTATAGGCCTGAGCCACTGGGCCTGGTCAACTTCGCCTTTTTTTTTTACTGAGCTGTGTGTGTGCTCAGGGAGGACTTTTGGGCTTCTAATGTCCTCAAGGATGAGGACAGTGCTGGCACACAGTCCTACAGAATCAATGTACCTAGAAGGGTCCCCTTTGCCTCCAACTGAAGAGGTCACGAGAAGTGCTTTGAGAAATTAAAGTTATCAGGAGAAAGAGTGAATTAGATTTACAGAAAACAAAAAAGAGGAGAAAAAAGGGAAGAGGGAAAGGTATCATGACCTTACCAAGGTGGCAGAGAAATGAAGTGCATCAGGAGTTAAGTTACTTCCACAACAGGGAGGACCTTCAACCAAGAAGATCAATCTCTTGTCCCTTTCAGGGAAAACTACACTAACATTATCCACATCTTTTGGAAATGAGTAAATTCCTTCCTTTGCCCAGCCCTGAGGCCTCAACTAAGACACAGGTTTTTCACACCAGGTGACCTGGAGCTGCTAGCCCAGCAGCAGAGTTCAAAGGGATGCAGAAGCCCAGGCTCCAGGGCTAGGTAAGGGAACCAAGAATCCCACCTCTGTTCTTTAATATTTGCTGAGGGAATGACAGATCTGACCTTAACCGTACAGAAAGCTGGTTAAAATCCTAACAACATGGAGAAGTGAAGACCTCCAGTATACAGGTCATAATGGTCAAAAAGTCTTTTCAAAACACCTTGGGTGGCCAATACTGAACCTGAGCCTGTTCCATCGGGTCGTTTCCAGCTCATGGCATCAAGTGAACAAGGGTTGATGGCACAAAAGATCATTCATTTTTCTGATTACGAAGTGAAAGTAAGATACAATTATTTCATTTTAGAAAGCACTCTGATTTTTTGAAAAGGTAAAGTAAAAATTATCAGGTTTTTCTTTTCTTTTTTATTTTTATTGAGTTGGAGGCTCACTCTGTCACCCAGACTGGAGTGCAGCGGCCGCTCCCGGCCACCGCAGCCTCGACCT